TTCTTGATGCATAAAGTAATTAAGAACTACTCAACACTTTTAACAGTTTTCATTGAAAATATTTAATTAAATGATTTTTGAAAATGATTTAACAAACGTATTAAAAATAAATTTATTAAAAATTTTTAAATTTTAATAATTTATCAAATTAATTAAAAAACTTTTATCAAAGAATATAGGAAAAGTTACAGCAAGTACGTTGTATTTTTCTTTTTTTTTTTTTTTGTTTTGACTAAAAGCTATTTCATTGGTTTTTTTTTCTATCGGCAGGTTAAAAGTGTTATTTCACACTATTTGTTGGCAAGTCATTCTATCAGCAATTGCAGACTTTCATTATTATTATCTTTTTAAATTGCGAGTTGCACCAAATTTCAAATAAAAAAAGTTAATTTTAATATATTGCTATACTGATAACCCGGGGATATATATTTTTTATGAATTCAAAAAAAATTTTATAAAATATATCTTAAATTAAAAAATTATAAAAAAATTTTTAAGTTAAAAAATTTATTAATATAATTCAATCTCAAAATTCTTTCAAGATGGAAGAGCATTGAAAGCTCAAAAATAATAAATTAAGGCATGCATGCCATAATCTATATCAATGTCAAATATTAGACTTGTACCTTGGTATTTAGATTTGTACCTTGGTATTTGTATAAAATTTAATCTGTTATGTCTAGTAATCTAATTCTTTATATTCAACAATATTTTTCAATTAAAAATATGAAATTATTTCATAATATGATGCTTAAACATAGAAGTTTATACTAAGCATATAAACATGCCAATGAAATAATGAAAAATAATAAGTAAATTTGCAAAAGAGACATAAGTTTTTTTTTGTACCAAAGCAAACGAGCCACACAATAATTTAGAGGCTAGAAAGAAATGGAATTGATATATAAATTTTAAACCTAATATGGTATGAAAGATTTTGGCTTAAACTTTAATAATGAGCTACAATAATACATGAGAAAGAACGAAAAAAGGCCATGGAGAATATATAAGTGGTAAGAGTAGTATTCAATTTCCACTTTCTTACTTTGGTTATCTTGATTAGTGAATTTCATAAAAAAGTTAATGACTCAGCATACTAGATCAAATTAAGGTAAACAAGTTTGCTTTTTTCCTTTAAGGTCACACCCTTTATTTATATATACATGGCAGGTTTTGATATTATTTGAAAAATCTTTGAAAGTCAAGAAAAAATATTAAAAAAAAAAAAAAGAAGTAAAGGAGGTGAAATTAACTTGAAAGTAAGATAATGTGAAGATGTTTTGTTGTGATAAAATTGGTATAAAAAATGTTTCATGGACCCTTGAAGAAAGACATCATTTTAGTCTCTAAGAACATGATCCTAAATTTTAGAAAAATATCTTTAATAATTTTATTATTCATAGATGTCAATGTAAAATCGAATGTATATTTTTTAACAATAACTGCAATAGTTATTTAAGTTAATATATATTTGAGCACTGATCATTATATTTTTTAAATTTATATAATTGTCTAAAGAAAAAAAAATAGTAATTTATATTTTTGGGATTGATAAACTATATTTATAAATCACTATAATATTTTGAAATCATATTAAAAAATAATTCAAACTTTTTTTTTTATTTTCACTACTCAATTTGGTTTTTCCGTAGTCTAAAATCTCAAAACATTATTTTTTCTGAATTTTTTTAAAAAAACCTTCAAGTTACTTTTTATAATTTCAATTCTCACTTTTTTTATCTTCTTTTTTTTTATTATTTGAGAGAAGCTTAGTTTTAAATAACAAAAGTCAAATTTATTAAAGCTCAATCCAAGAAAATAAAAAAAAGACATTAAAATATTAAAGAACAAAAGAAAAAAACATAAAAAAAAAAGATGAAATAATAAGACAAAACAACGAGAATAATTGAAGGCTGTGAAAGAGCAAAAATTAAACACCCACTTACTTTTTCTGTACTGCCACATCTTTGTTTACCCACCATTCTTCTCTCTCTCTCTCTCTCTCTCTCTCTCTCGTCCCTTTAATTTCTTATGCTCTTTCAACTTATTTATCTTTTTTTAAAGTCTTCTAACTTATTTGTTTTCTCTACCCAAAACTTTGTCTCATTTTTTTAGATAATATTTCATTTAATCTCTGAATTATTATTTTTTAATATATAATATTTAAGCAAAAAAATTTTTTAATAAGATATTTAAATTATGTTTTCATATATTAAATTATTTTAACTTTTAATATAATTAAAAAATATTATCATAATATAAACATATAATAAGATATTAATACGTATAAAAAATTTTAATTAATGTTATATTAGAATTAAAAGAAAATTTTAAAAATTTATAAAATTCTAAAAATTTTTTAAAATTATAAAAAAATAAAAAAAAGTTAAAAAATTCTACACATTTTTTAAAAATTATTAAAAATTAAGGAAAATGAAAAATTTTCAAAAAAAATAAAAATTTTTTAAAAATCCAAAAATTTTGAAAAGAAATTTGAAAAATTCAAAAAATGAATATTTTAATAAAAATAAAAATTTCTTAAAATTAAAAAAAATCACGAAAACTTAAAAATATTTCAAATAAAAAAAGCCTCTGACGTTCAACTGTGGGCATGAAGCACACTCGTTAAGACAAAGAAAGAGTTGTCCAGATCCTCTTTTTTGTCCCTTTTTTTTTTGTTTTTATTACTTTTCAGTACCATCTCAGCACCTAACCCATGCAACACATTTGAATATTTTTCCAAAGAGCCACTAAAGAAATTCTCTTTCAATTTCATTACTGTACAAGATGTGAGCAAACTATCTGAACCTGCTTGATGACAAATCCCAACTCTTTCCACTTCCAACAACTCTACAAGCTTGTTCAATCCACCGTGCAGACTGTTGCAAAGCTTCATCAAATGCTTGATATCATTGAAGGCGGGAAAATAAATATTGATCAAACTAAAGAACCCAACTTGGGTGTCTGGCAAATTATGGCGAAGTCAAGAGCTTAAGCAAGTAACCGAAATCATAACCACTATGGAAACTAACCCGATGTACACTATCATTCAAAACATTCCCTGAACACGTCAAAAGCTCACCAAACCTCATTGCTTCAATGCCCTTCTCGTTATTTTTCTTGAAATCAATCCCACTTTGCCTTAAAAGCTCAACAAAATCGTTAGCAAACACATCCTCGTTGACATTAAACTCACCGAAATTGAATTGCCAAATGCAAAACTTATTAGTTCCACAAGTAAGCGAGTTTCCTTTCTCATGACCCGAAAACGTAAGACCCAACTGAATCTACTTTAACATATTAATATTGTCTTTCAAAGTTTCGTAGTGATAGTTATAGCTGTTCTTGCCATCGAGATGCAATACAATGCCTAGAAACTCGGTGTCTATAGCAATGTAAGGGAAATCATCGACTATTTCAAGAATTTTTTAAAAAATTTTTGAAATTTTTTTGAAAATTTTGAAAATTAAAAATTTTTTTTTTAAATTTTAACTTTCCTTTTTTAAAAAAAAAAATTTGTAAATTTCTTAGATTTTTTTTGAATATTTTTTTAATTTTAAAAATTTTAAAATGTTTAAAAATATTTTAAAAGTTTTTTAATACACAAGAATGATATAGAACTAATTAATTTTTTCTAACATGTGTTAGTATTAAATATCCATCTCATGTCAATATTTTTTTTTACCAATATTAAAGATCGAGACAATTTAATTGCGAAAATATAATTTAATTATTTGATTAAAATATTTTTATTTAAATACTATGTTAAAAAAGTATAATAGTTTAGAGACAAAATGATATGTTATTTTTTTTTTATTTTAATTGAAAGAAAAACTTGACAGTTGTCAAAAGAAAACTCTGGTGCATTTATCTTTTATCAAAATTTCTCTTTGATCTATCATTATTATTATTATTATTTGAGCAATTTTGAAGGATGGAAAAGATAAATACTGGAAAAGTTAGCAACTGTCGGTCTTTCTTCGTGAGTGCAATTTCAAAGCAAGTAACTAATAGAAAAATGGTGAATAATTAATGCATCGCAAAGGAACAAAAAACAAGTTGTACTAACATCCAAATAGAAAAAGTTAATTTTTCTTCTCAAAAGTTAATGTGTAATTTTCAAAGGTCAGGAAGCTCGGGCTGTAGTTTCGAAGGTCTGTCTTTATTTGTAATTGCAATTATTTCAACATTCGAAATCCTAAGCAAATTGCAATGTGAAACAATTTCTTAAAAGTTTCCTTTAATGAAAAAGAAAATACTTAAAAAATATTTGAAAGAAAAGACTTTGAGCGATGTGACTACTGATTCAACATCTTTGCGATCGGCTTAAATCTGAAATACTTTCTCTTTCTTCTCTCCACCCATAAATCAAGCTTCAACCTTTCTCCCTAACTCATCTGCCACTAGGCCTCTACGGTACCCAGTCTAACCTTGTACCAAAACTTAGTTGCTCTTTTTTTCGAAAAACCATTTCCCCTGCTCCTCAACTTGCTTTGCTTTTGTGTTTTCTTGCCTGGTTTCAGTCCCCTTGCTGTTCTTTCTTTCTTCTTTGTTTTTCTCTTGGTTCCCTCTAATGGATCGGAAGACGAGACTGTCCAAACCATTTCTAGTCTTTACCCATAAATAAAGCTTCCAACTTTCTCCTCAACTCATCTGTCTCTAATGAATTTCCACTCCAACTTTCTCCACAATCTCAGTTGCTCTTCCTTTTTTTTTTTTTTGAAAAACCATTGCCCCTACATCCCGCCTTTCTGCTTTTCCTTTTGTTTTTTAACCTGGTTTTAGTCTCCTTGTTGTTCTGTTTTTCCTCTGTTTTTCTCCGGTATCCTCATCGGAAGGGAGTCTGCCAAACCATTTCTAGTCTTTGCCCATAACTGATTGCATAGTTTTGCTTGCTGTCTTAACCTTTTTTGTTAATTGCTCCCCGCTTGTCTTTGTTTTCTTCTGTCATTTGCTTTGCTGGTCTGCTTCAAACAAACCAATCAACCAAAGAAAAAAAAATGGAACCCGTTGTTACTGGCACTGCTGCCAACCTTTCTTCGGAAGTTGCGAAGGGCATCTTCCAAAAAGTCAAACGTCACATGAGATACGTAATCGTGTACAAGAAAAACGTTGACAAGTTTGAGGAGAAAATGGAGACGCTGCTGGCGAAAAGAGAAAGTGTGAAGGGATATATCGAAGCTGCAAAACGGAACTTGGAGAAGATAAAACCGGATGTGGAGCTTTGGTGCAGAAAGGTGGACAAGTTACGCGAAGACGAGATGAAAAATGTGAAGGATCTTCAAGACAAAGCAAAGAGCAAGTGCTTCATTGGCTTGTGCCCCAACATCAAGTCTCGCTACCAACTTAGCAGGAAAGCTGAAGAAGTTGTCGAAGTTGTTAATGAACACCTTCAACAAGGTGAATTCAACAGTGTTTCATGCCCTGCTCCTCCGCTGGACATAGTGGATGCAGCAACTCCTAAAGATTTTGAGGCCTTTGAATCAAGAGCGAAGATATTTAAAGACATCATGGAGGCATTGAAAGATGGTACTACCAACGTCATAGGGGTGTATGGGATGCCTGGTGTGGGCAAAACCACACTAGTCAAAGAAGTTTATAGAAAGGCCAAAGAAGACGAGTTATTTGATTCGGTGACTATGGCATTTGTGAATCAGACTCCTGACCTTCAAAAAGTTCAAGATCAACTTGCAGCTTCATTGGGTCTAAAATTAGAAGGAAAGGATGTGGTGGTTAGAGCAGCTCGATTGCGGGAAAGATTGAAGAAAGAGAAGAAGGTTCTTGTTATTTTAGATGATATTTGGAAGAAACTAGATTTGAAGGAAGTGGGAATTCCTTTTGGAGAAGAAAACAAGGGATGCAACGTATTGCTCACTTCAAGATATCTAAATGTTCTAAGAAATGATATGGATGCTCGGAAAATTTTTCCAATATCTGTTTTAGAAGATAACGAAGCTTGGGACCTGTTTAAGAAGATGGCTGGGGACGATCCTGAAAATCCTGAGTTGCAATCTACAGCAATTGAAGTAGCCAAAAAATGTGCAGGACTGCCTGTCGCCATTGCAACAGTTGCGAGGGCTTTAAGAGGCAAAGAATTATATGTATGGAAAGATGCTTTGAGAAAACTACAAAAGCCTTCCCCAACAAGCTTCACAGGAATACCAGCACATGTTTATTCAGCGATAGAGTTGAGTTACAACCATTTGGAAAGCGAAGAACTCAAACAGACATTCTTGCTTTGCAGTCTGCTAGGTCACAACGCTTTCATTCCAGACTTGCTGAAATATACAATTGGTTTGGGTTTCTTTCATGGTGTCAACACAGTAAAAGAAACACGAGATAGATTGTCGACAGTGGTGAGTGACCTCAAATCCTCTTGTTTGTTGCGTGATAGTTACACCAATGTGCGAGTTGATATGCATGATCTTATTTGTGATGCGGCCTTAGCAATCGCTTCTAGGGACTACAATGTGTTTGCATTAAAGCCCGAAGATGGTCCAAAATATTGGCCTAATGGAGAGAAGATGGAAAATTGCACCATGATTAGTTTGCGTTGTGCTAATATTAGCTATTTTCCCAAGGAGTTGAAATGTCCGCAACTTGATCTTTTTCTCCTGTATAACGAGGATCTTCCCGTGGAATTGCCAATCAACTTTTTTAAGGAAACACTAAATCTTAAAGTTTTAGATTTGACTAAAATGCAATTTCAGTCCTTACCTTCCTCAATTAGGCTCCTAACAAACCTTCAGACATTGTGCCTAGACCAATGTATTTTGGGAGATATCACTGGGGTTGGAGAGCTCAAGAATTTAGAAATTCTTAGCCTTGTGGATTCTGATTTTGAGAGGCTACCTAAGGAAATTGGGGAATTGATCAAATTAAGGTTATTAGATCTCAGTGGTTGTACCAGACTCAAAATAATTCCACCAGGGGTCTTATCAAGTCTGTCTGGATTGGAGGAATTGTATATGGGTGACAGTTTTGTTCAATGGGAAGTAGAGAGGCTGGCCAACCAACAATGCAATGCTAGTCTTGATGAATTGAAGCTTTTGTCTCATCTGACCACTTTAGAGGTTCGTATTCCTGATGCCAAGATTATGCCAGCGGACTTGTTCTCCAAGAAATTGGAAAGATACAAGATTTTCATAGGCAAGGGATGGGATTGTGTTGGTGAGTGTGAACCCTCAAGGACATTGAAACTCAAGTTAAATGCAAGTGTTGATGAGTTGGATCACGGATTTAAAATGTTTCTAAAGAAAACTGAAGATCTATATTTAGACAACATGAAAGGTGTCAATATTGCACTTCATGAGTTGATGGATGAGGAAGGCTTTAAGCGGTTGAAGAATCTCCATATCCAAAATGGTTCGGAGATCGAATATATCATTAGTGATGATGGTGCAGCTCATAAAATTAAATTTCTTCAATTGCAATCTTTGACACTTCATGGTCTACCACAGCTCATTAGCTTTTGCTTTAAAAATAAAAGGGGTTCTAATTCTTCATGTCAAAACGAGTTATCGCTTTTTAGTGAAAAGGTATGTTTTTCTTTTACGTCAGTTGCTAAATGTTTTTGCTTTTAAAAAAAATGAATAGAAAGAAAGAGGCAAAAAATAATAAAATAATAAAAAATAGGTGATATGTAGGAAAAAAAAAGAAAAAGCATCTATCAAGTGAAGTCTTAAGAAATATCCAAAATTTGAAGTAGTCTATTTTCAAGGACATTTTAGCGTTTAGGTTTACTAATTAATGAGGTTTCAACCTTTCATTCATTGATGGTGTATTGAAATATATACTGTTGTATCAAAACATAAATCCTTTTTGTTTAAATGCTCATTCAAATGCATAAAATGTTGGTCTCATTTCCGATTTCCTCTAAATCTATATATGCTCTCAAATGGAAGCCTTTGTGATTGACAATGAGACCATGACCTGAATGTGGATGCTCTATTGTTTGGGGGCTAAATGTCAGAATTAAAATTCAATTATAGTTTGCACATGATTTTTCACTTGAGAATCTAACGTTTTATTTCAATTTTGATTCTTTTAATAAATAGAAATTGATAACATAAGTTAGTGACTATTATTAATTTGATTTTGATATAAAATTGATCAAAATAGTCATTTAGTATTGGAATAAAAAATTGATAACACTAAATCACTTTTTCTTGAGAGGGGAAGTAAATGTATTGCATGCCGTTGCATTGGCAAACACTATTCTTTGGTTTTTGTTGGACCATTTTATGCTAAAAAACTTGTCTTTTTCTTCTGTCATATTTGAATTTTTTAATATCTCTAATAATGTAGTATAATTACATTAATGTAGTTGGTGTTCCCTTATTTGGAGAGCCTTCGGTTGTCCTCAATCAATGTTGAAAGGATATGGCACAACCGGTTTTCAAATATATCCGAGTACGGCACTCAAAATCTAACAAGTTTGACTATTGAGGGTTGTGACAACTTGAAACAGCTATTATCATCTTCTATGGCTAGAAGTCTAAAGCATCTTAAATGCTTTGAGATAGTTGAATGCAAATGTTTAAGAAAGGTGATATTTGCAGAGGATATAGAAGAAGAAGACAAGGCTACGATTTTATTTCCTCAATTAAACTCTCTAAAGATAAGGAAGCTTCAACATCTTATTGGGTTTTGTTCAGAAAATTATAATATTGAATTCCCATCCTTAAAGCTTCTGGAGATAGAACAATGTCCTCAGTTGCAGGGATTCATATATAAATCTACAATGGAGGAGAACCAACATTTCCCTGCACAAGCTCTCTTCAATGAAAAGGTAGATTTATTGATATAAAGTTTTGTACTATACTTGCTTTTCTTTCTTTTGTCTTTATTCTTGGAACTAATTACTCTATTATCTTTATACGTTACACATAGGCAGCGTTCCGTTGTTTGGAGCAACTAAGTATTTCCTGGTTGAGAAATATGAAGATGATATGGCACAATCAACTCTCTGTAAATTCCTTTTGCAAATTGGAAAAAATGGTAGTTGAACATTGTAATGAGCTCTTTACCATTTTTCCATTTGATTTGTTGAGTACATTTCAAGGACTTCAAACTCTGGAAGTATCTAGTTGTCGTTCAGTGGAACATATATTTGAACTCCATAGGTTAAATATGAAGGAAACAAATGTTGTGGCTACTCAACTAAGAGAATTGTATGTTGTTAATCTACCAAAATTGAAGAATGTTTGGAACGAGGACCCCCAAGGAATTTTAACATTTCAAAATCTAAATGTAGTATCTGTTAGGTACTGTTGGAGTCTGAAGAATGTGTTTCCAGCCTCAGTTGCCAGAGTTCTTCCACATCTTAAAGATCTTAGAGTAGATAGCTGTGCAGTGGAGGAGATTGTTTCAAAAGCGGAAGGATGGGAAACGAGTGTAACTAATTTTAAGTTTGATCAAGTGTCCTCCCTTATGCTATGGTACCTGCCAAAACTCAAATGTTTCTATCCTGGAATGCATACAACAAAGTGGCCAATGCTAAAAAAGTTGAAAACATACCATTGCAACAAAGTGAAGGTACTTGACATTGGAGGGCTTAATTTGCCAGATATGAATGAGGACAATCAATTGGACTCCCAAATCCAACCACCACTTTTCTTAGTTGAAAAGGTACGAACTCCAGATCACACTTAAAAAGCTATCTATTTGTAATAATACCATATACCTGATTTTTTTATTAATCATTTGGTTCAAATTTGAATTTTATCATTTCTGTAAATTTTCTAAATTTGGGAAAAGTCTTATAATGGAAATTGACCAGTCATTAGACTTTAAGCAAGGAGACACAAGCACATCTGTACCAATTAGCCAAATGCTTAGATGCTGTAATGTTTCTCTTGGTAGATAAATTTTCCATTTTCATTCAAGAAGTACAAAATTGTAATTGATTTTTCTTTGGTTTTGTAGGTGGTTCCCAAATTAGAAGAAGTGTCTTTGACCTGTGATGACATTGCAATGATATGTGATAGCAAGGTTTCCAAAGACCTTTTCTATGAAATAAAAGCTCTTTATTTGCTTTGCTACCATGATGGATCTGCTATTTTCCCAACCACCTTTCTTGAAGGATTCAACAATTTGGAAAAGCTTGAGGTGATTTGTTGCGACTTTAACAATCCATTCTCGTATGAAGGTGATAAGGGGACAAATGCTCCGACTATTTTGCCAGTTAGAAAGTTAAAACTGGATGGGCTTCATTATCTAAAACACATGTGGATGCAAGGGTCACGACTTGACTGCATTCTTCCCAATCTTGAAACACTTGAAGTTTTCAGAAGTGCCAATATGATTAGTTTAGGATTATCGTCAACTCCTTTTCAAAATCTCACGACTTTGGATGTTTGGGACTGTGGAGTAATGATAAACTTAGTTACATCCTTAGCAGTCCAAAGTTTGGTCCAACTAAAAAATTTGAGGATAAAAAACTGTGTTTCAATGAAAGAAATTGTTGGAAATGAGAGAGATGATGAAGCAATCACTTACATTACTTTTAATAGGTTGGAATGTTTGGAGCTTCTACATTTACCACGCCTTAAAAGCTTTTGTTCAGGGAATCACACATTTGGATTCCCATCTTTGGACCAAGTAATAGTGAGCCACTGTCCTGAATTGGACATCTTTTGCAAGGGAGATTTAAAGACACCAAAATTGCAAAGAGTACAAGTAATTACAGGTGAAGATGAGAATGTACGCTGGGATGGTGACCTTAATATTACCGTCCAACAGTTGTACACAAAAAAGGTACTTCTTGATTTACAGAATTTTTTTAATCTTTGAAATAAATGTCCTTTTAGGCTAGCTTTTTATTGTTGGATGTTATTTTCAACGATTTATTATGAATTTTGGGGGGTTTAATTCTACTTAAGTCTTATAATTTTCTTTCTTTTTTTTTTTTTTGGTAATAATTGGTGTCATAAATTGGATTTTGTAGGTTGACTATGAAGGAATAGAGTGTCTGGTGCTCTCTGACACTTCTAAAGCAATGCAGAATTGGAGGGATAATCTTCAAAAAAGTTTAAATTTAAAAAATCTTAAATGTTTGGAAGTTTGTGGATGTAATAGCTTGAAAAACATATTCACCACTTCCATGGCTTTGGATCTTGTGCAATTGCAGAAGATGAAAGTAAGAAATTGTGTGATGATGGAGCAAATTATCACAAATGATGGAGCAGAGGAGGCAACAACCAACACAATCATGTTCCCTTCCCTTGAATCCATAATTCTTGAGTCATGTTCAAACTTAAGAAGTTTTTATTTGGGGCATGATACAGTGGAATATCCATGTTTGACAGAACTTACAGTAGAAGGTTGTCCAAAGATGATTGCATTCGCAACTTCGTCTCTAAGAGAGCAGAATATAAAGACTAATGGCATTGCACCATTTTTCAGTTATAAGGTTAGCTTTTGTTTGTGCATTTGGTTCTTTACATAGCAAATGCTTCTAAGATGATGTTTGTTCGATTTAACAAATTCAAGACCAAAAATTAAATACTAAATTTTTAGTTTTGAAGATTTAAGCATTGAATTGTCATATAAAAATGTTTGGTGTGCTACTAAAAGTTAGTAGCTTTTTTATTGAGTCTTTTATATAAAAGAGATATGGTTTTATAAGTATTTTCAATTAAAAAAAGTTTAAAAAGGAAAGAATAAATTGTTAAAAAATACTATAAGAGTGATGTAATTAAATAATTTTTTTTAAAAAATTAATTTAATACATTAAGTAGCTAAAAAGTACTTAAAATTTTCGGCACTTTTTTTATTAAAATTTTTTATTAAGTTGCTTTGAAATTAATTATCAAACGCATTAAAAAAATAAATCATTGAAAATTTTAAATTTTCATTATTTTGAAGTTTTTAAAATTTCAATAAATTATCAAAAAGTTTGACAAAAAAAAAATATAATTCACCTTTTAAGTTCAAAGTTATTTTTTCTTCGATATTAATTTCTTATTTCATGATGGTATCTTTATCTTTATCGTTATTTTATTTATAAAACTATTAAGTTCATAAGTTTAAATTGTTAATAACTTTTTGTTTATTAAATTAATTATTTTATCCTTAATTAATGATTTTTTAATATTGGCTATTATTTATTATTTATTATTATTGAAAAGTTTATTTAAATAAACTCTATCCTTAATTGATAATTTTCATATGAAATTAAATAATTGACTATTTTATCTATTTATTTCCTTATAAATCTTAAATTTTGTACCAAATTAAATTATTTTTAGTAAAATTTAGTTTTTATTCTATTAAATCATTAGGGAGTTTAAATATGTATGAGATTTATTATTACTATATAATATGCCACAAAATGGATTGTTTGATATACTCTAATTGAATAGATTTAAAATGATTAATTATTACTATATAACATGCCACAAAAATATTTTTTTCTCCTTTTGCATGTTAGAGGATAATAACAAATTAAAAAATATCGAATTTTAATATTAATTTAGAGTTTTGATAGTAAGCAAAAAAAATTTATGGTTTTGATAAGTTAATCCATAAAAAAATCAATTATCGAAAATAGTGCGACGAATTTCTAGTATAATAAATGAGGAATACCTTTGATTACCTCAATTTGTCTATGCATTTTAATTTCTTATTATTTTATTAGTATAGTTATTACAACTGTGTTAAATCATACAATTATGAAATTCAATTAGTAGTTTTTAATGCTCTTAGAATCCTTTGTTTATGCTTGTTGCTAGTTCTTCTTTTCTCCTCTAATTTCATCTTTCTTAAAGTTTTGTTAGGATTTGAAATTGATACTTTTGCTCTTTTTTTGTGTATCTTGTCAAGCTAGTAGTATAATTTATTTCTTCTTATTAATACAATTAAATAAATTTTTTGCAGGTGGTGTTCCCTAACTTAAGAAAATTGGTAATCGTTGGCAATGGGTATTGGACAACGATATGGGACGATAAACTCACATTTGATTCATCTTGTGAACTAACTCTTCTTGTTGTGAAAAATTGTGAAAGACTTCTGAATGTTTTCTCATTTCATATGATGGGAAAACTTGACAAACTCGAAAATCTTCAAATATTGAACTGTGAATCCTTGATAGAAGTAATTGGGCTTGATCATGGACTCAATTCCACTGAATCAACCATCCTGTTTATATTTCCTAAAATAAGATTCTTGATACTTCGGTGGCTACCCAAATTGAAGAATTTCTATTCCAGGTCGCATACTACAAGATGGCCATCCTTAAAACAATTAGAGGTGACAGGATGCGACAATGTGGAGATATTAGCTAGGGAGTATTTGAGCTTTTCAGAAACATTTGGAGAGAGTCAACTGGAAATTATCCCTTCTGAACAACCCTTGTTTTGGGTTACTAAGGTATGAACCTCTAATATCTATGTAGAATGTAAGCACTTAAGGTTTGTTGGTAATAATTTCCAATTTTTAGTTTTTTTTTTTAATTTTGTTTTGAACACATAGAACATCTTTGAGAAGTAATTTTGTTATATATGAAAAGAAAATACTTAAATTGTTTCATATATAATAATTCAATACACAAAATAAAAATTTAAGAATTAATTAAAAATAATATTGTATTTATTAAATAAAATTATATTATTGCATAATATTATTTAATACTATTTGATAGTAATATTGAATATTGCGATCATAATCATAATAGAATTTATCCTTTTAAATAATATTTAAAATTAAATTATATTAATAAATTAGAAAAATTAGAAAATTTTAATTAAAATAATATTAAAAAGTAATTAATTATATAAATATTAAAAATTAAATAAATGACTGTTGATTTTCCAATAACCAAATATGTGGTTAAGTTATTTTTGAACAAACAACAAAGTTTAGACCTTCTAAAAAGGTTCTATTAATAGGAAGTAGGTTGGGCTGATCGTTGGGATTGCAAGTAGTATGTTTTATATGGCCATGATGAATTTCATTTTCATGATCTTTAAATTTTTTTAATTTTGGTTCCACTTCCAACACTCGCCAAGTAAAACTTTTACTATGCGACATGCCATATGGACGGTTCGTCTTAGCTTACGTGTGAAACCCTTTTTTTTTTTAATTGTTAGTGAAAATGTGACAAAATAAACAAAATGAAAATCTAATAGAACAATTCAAAAGTTAGGGGTAGAATTAAAACTAGAATAAAAATTAAGATCATGGATGAAATTTACGGTTCAAAATCCTTGCATTTGTTTAACATATTTCTTAATTTTGATTTTCAGGATACATTCTCCAATTTAAAATGCTTACTTTTGGGAGCAAATGGCATTATGACGGAGATATGCCATGGACAACTTCCAGCCCAATATTTTTGCCAACTAACAGATCTTCGGCTCAGAAATATTCCCAATATATCAGCAACTATTCTAAACAGTTTTATTCAGTCTTTACCAAATCTTGGATCACTTGTTGTGAGAGAAGCTCCCTTCAATGAAATATTTCAATGCGAAGGGCTGGAGGGTGAGGAGGAACATCCAGGGGCACCTGCTCGGTTGACTGAATTAATACTTATAGAACTTCCTGAGTTGACACATCTCTGGAAGGAAGAATACCAAGCTGGAGAAGTTTTCAATAACTTGAGAATTCTAGAAGTGTGGAAATGCGACAAATTGGAGAATTTAGTGCCATCTTCTGTGTACTTTAAAAATTTGACAACTCTGTTAGTGTCAAATTGTCACAGGCTTAAAAACTTAGTAGCACTGCCAACGGCAAAAAGCATGGTGGTACTCAAAAAAATGAGAATCACTGATTGCCAAATGATAGAAGAAATCATAGCTCATGGAAGTGATGATGTGATGGATGGCATCCTGTTCTCCCAACTGGAGTCTTTGGAACTTGGTTGTCTTCCGAGCCTATCAAGCTTCTGCTCGGGGAATTATGCCTTTGGATTCCCTTCCTTGGAAGAGTTAATAATGAGACAGTGTCCAAAGATGGAAATTTTCACTAAGGGAGAGTTGAGCACACCGATGCTGAGGGGAATACAATCAACTAAAGGTCAATATGTAGGGCATTGGGAAGGCAATCTCAATGCCATTGTTCAACAGTTGTTTACAGAAAAGGTATGCATCAATTCAAATGATTTCCTTATGATTGTTACATTGTTTTATGTGCATAATCATATTCCAATTGAATTGCAACATTGCCTGAGAGTCGACATTCTAACTTTCCATATATCTTTCTGTTAATTGCTATATGACTTGTACGAATATTGTAACAACAGATTTTTCTGCTTTTTGGTCCCTTTTAAAAGTTCATCGATTCAAATGCTGAAAGATTTACACTAGATATTTGTGATGACATGTCAACCACGTAATTTGGACACAAAAACAGACAGTTTGATTTGTCTGCCAATGAAGCTGATCACATTATAGAGTGTTGGTTAAGTTAAAATTTCTTCTAGTTAAAAGCTTTTGTTCTTTATTTGGTGATTGAGAAAATGAAAAAAAAAAAAATGCAGCAGACATGTTCTTATCATTTGCATGCTTCTCCAGAACCGTCATTATTGTGTTTTGTTTTTTCCTCCAGCTAAAGAGTGAAGCTTTTCATGCATTAAGGAATATATGTTAATATTGTATGCAGGTTTTTCCAAGCTTGGAGGATTTAGAACTGTCCTCAATCAACATTCAGAGAATCTGGCATAAAAGACTTCTGGCAACACCTTCTTGTGCTCGATATTTAACATGCTTAACTATCGAGGGCTGTCACAATTTAAACTGTACATTTTCGTCCTCAATGATGGAAAGTTTTGCGCAACTCAAGAGGCTTAACATTGTGAATTGTGAGAATGTAGAAAAAGTAATCTTGATAGAAGGATTAGCCAAAGAAGAACTGATGAGCCAAAAGTTGTTCCGTACACTAGAATTCCTATTGCTCAAAGACCTTCCCAAACTGACGAGATTCTGCCATGGAAGTTACTTTGAATTTCCCTTGTTGAGAATTCTTAGGATAGAGAGTTGTCTTACATTAGATACGTTTGTCTCTGATGCACAAGGAAACGACTCAGAGATTGCCTCTCCAACTCTTTTCAATGAAAAGGTGATAATCCATTACTTTGTTTTATCTGTATCATTACTTTCTCTCCATTAATCTTACCTAAATTCTACGCAATTATTGACACAATCAAATAAATTTCATAGGTGGCGTTCCCTTGCCTAGAGGAATTGAGCATCATAGGTGTGGGAAACTGGAGAGAGATATGGCACAACGAGTCAACCAACTCCGTGAGGATTCATCTTTCAAATTACTAAATCTTCTGTAAGTGTTTGATTGTAAAAGACTTGAATAATTTTTTTCATTTAAATTTGTGAGACACTTAAGGCTCAATCATGTTCCTTCAGTTGAAGTGAGAAATCAGATGGTAAGTCTTTTACTTCCATAACCTTCATCTTTTTCTTCTGACACACTTTGTTGTTAACAGTTTACCAAATTCTATAGGTTAAAATCCACACAGCTCAGATCTGAATTTTGATGCATTCATATGTTAGGATCTACCCTGAATGCACCTGTCAGGAGTTTAAGCCAGTCAAAGAGCACTTAGCTACCTTGTGTAAGCATAGTGGCTATTGCATTCCGTGACAACTTATAACCAGGGCGATACCTTGAAAAGCTTTCACCTCCATTGAAGAGGTGCACCAAATGCACTTGCTTTACAGAGTAGAATATTGTAATTACGCTTTTGGATTCCCTTCCCAGGAGGAGGTTATGGTGAGATAACTGTCCAAAGATGAAAATTTTCTGCAAAACCTGCTCCAAGTTTACAGAGTGTGAAATTTGCAGAAGATAAATAGCGTTGGGATGGCAATCTAAACACCACCATGGAACAAATTTTCACAGAAATGGTATGTGTTCATTGAGATAACATTTTTTTTTCAAGATTTTAGAATTTTTTATTCTTTTTGCTTCTACACTCTGTTAAAGCTAACCATTCTAAATACTCGCAATTTGCCTTTATTAATTATGATTGCTTTTCTGTGTTCTGAGATGTTATACTAAAGCAGAACGTCTTAGAGTGTAATTGCAGACTAATTAAATTTAATCTTTCTGAAAAAAAATTCATGGATTTAGTAGATGGATAAGTATTTTTTAGCAGACAACAAAACTACATATATAGGATGGAGTAGACACAACTGTATTCTTTATCTGGTAATAAAGATTATTATTAGTGAAATGAAGATCGATGCCCACTCTCGAAAGTGGACAATCCATAGTATCATTTTTATAGAATGGAAGATTATAGCCATGCAATCAAAACTAATCTAGTATTTTAATTTTTTTTTTTTCAAAATATGGTGGTTATATATGTCACCTTGTTTGTTGAATTCTCTGAAAATATGTGGTTCTTTTAACGGTGTTTGGTTCACTTTTATTATGATGTTATGTTTACAGAATGTCCTGAATTCTATAGCGGAGGAAGGTTGTCTGACACAAGCTCAAGCTGAATAAAAACAACGTTTTCTATGTTTTTGAGAGAAGTGCTTCACCTCATGTTCTTTTGAGAATTAAAGGTATTCTTTTGCAAAACTTCATTTCTCTTCTCATGTTCTCACAATTTCTTTACTGTTGGTGCGGTGCTTCTTTGTTTCAGGATGAATGGAGCACTCCTCTGCTCTACCACCAACCGTATCAAAGCTGCCATGTTTCGGTTATCCAGAAGCCAATATCATTGCTGCTGTCAATAGATGGCTGCCATAGACATCAAATTCTAAGCTAGGATTCCCTCTGTTAATGCTTTACTGGTTTGACAATGTTGATATCTGTATGATATTTGTAATTAGTTGTATCAACAATTCTTGTTTTGTCATTCAATTAGTCAATCCTAGTTATTACTTCAAACCCACAATTCTAAAGAAGACTAAAGATCATATTTATCATTCTGCAATCATATCTTTCTTTGCATATACGGGACAAATGTTATTGGATTGGTTCTTGCTGGACGATTGAAAGAATTGATAGTAGTATATATTTTAACAGGTAAGTCGATTTGTTCTACATATTAAATGTTCCGTGCCATTTTCTTTGTTTTCCCAGTTTATTATGGTGTTGATAATTCTTTGGCTGTTTGGCAGTTTAGCTCCTCATATTGTATAGGTGGTGTCATATATATTCTGTTATTTGAATTATTGCTAAGGGATATTGCTTGATGTGAGCTACAATTTTTATTTTGAAACAACTAAAGGAAGATTAACTTCCTGTAGTGTCTTCCTTATTTTAAAATATTTTCTGCTTTAGGTTTTGAGTCTTGCAGTAGACATTTTGAGTTTAATAAATTGTCTTTTGGTTTGTCGCAGTTGCTGTTGGGCTCATATAACACCCAAATACTACTTATGGTGTTCATGGCTATAGCTTCTCTCTGATTGGCGGGTTTCTTTGCGTATCATGCTAATCTTTGTCTCACAAACACCACAGTGAACGAGGTGAGATCCGTTTAAACCTTGTCCCGTAGTTTATTACATGAATTTGCCAACTAAGCCTTGACCGAACATAAGCCATGAAATAGCTGGCTATGCTAATTGAGTTGTTGAAACCATGAAACTAGAATCATATGTTCTCATATGTCTGAAAATGCAGATCTTCAAGTGGTAAGACTACTTAGGCTGGCAGAAGAAACCGAGTAAAGCAAGAGAAAGTCTTGTAGCATTGAAAGCAAGAATCACCGGGATGAGTCGCGATGGAGAACCTCAGGAGAGCAAAGTTAAATCGTTCTTCAGAAGGTCCCCTCTAGAGGATACTGAAAGTGTTGTAAAGGATTATGTGTAAGACAGCGGATTCTTTCACAATTTCTTTGAGGTCATTTGTCCAGTTTCGACAAGAGCATCATTTTTGCAGATCAAAACAAAATCTGGCTAAGATGGTCAACTGTTAATACTTATTCATTCACTCTGCTTTCAGCCCCGGTTATCATATTGTCAGCCAAAACTTCGAAATAGATGATCAGGTTTAAATCATAAGAGTTGCATATGAACCAAAGTCCATCGTACAGCTTCTTCACTGGCTGTAGCATTATTGTTCAAGTAAAAGGGTTAATGACGCATCTTATTTTAATGGTAATTGTCATTATGTATAGATCCCCATTAGACATGATTTTTAGGGTTTTCACTAATTTTTTTTTGTTTTAGTGTGATTGATCACTTGATCGAATCTATCTTATTTAATGATAAATCTCAAAATTGATTTACATATCTTTAAATAATAAATTTTAGTTTCTAAAATTAGATTTAAGATTTGCAAGTGCAATTATCTGTGATGAAGGTTTTAATATCCTTACGGCATTATTTCAAAAGATAATATCAATTTGATTTCAAATTATTCAAGTTTAATCATATTTATGATTTATTAAAATATTTAATATTGAAAATTAATCTTAAAATTACTTCAATAATTTGATAATAATTTAAGATATTTTTTTATTTCAGGAGTATTTATAGAGATTAATATTATAATTTAAAGAGGTTTTATCAATGAATTTATTAATGTATTTTACTCAAAAACTAATTAATAAAATTTTTTAATAGTTTGGTAAGATTTTCTTAATGTAGATTTTTTAATAGTTTGATGAGATTTTATTGTAAAATATTTAATAAATTTTACTTTAAAAAAAGTTATTAAATCTTTCAATAGTTCAGTAAGATTTAATTTAAGATGTAATCTTTTAATAATTTGATAGGATAAAATATAAAATATTTTGTTGATTACTTGATTTATAAAATTCTCTAATAGTTTGATAGAATTTATAAAAAATTTAAATTCATGAAAATCTTCGGATAATTTAGTAGGATTTATGAATTTATCTAAAAAGAATTTTTTTTAAGTTGTTTTTTAGAAATAAAATAATAAAAAGAAATTTTACAAAAAAATTTAAGAAGTAAAAAAGAAAAATTGCTCAATTTAAAATTAATAAAATAATAATGATAAATAAAATAAAAATAAAATAAGAAAAACCTAAAAATGAAAATTGCAAAAAAAAATCAAAAAATGAAAATAAAAAAGAAAAGGAAAACCTACGGTTAAGATGCTTCATGGGCTACGTATGGATCTTAAACTGGTTCACATAGATCTTGGACTAGATGAAACGACATTGTTTGGTACTGGTATAAAGGCCAAGTTCTTCAATTTTTCTTTAGAAGCTTTTAGTATTCTCTCTCTAAAAAATTTCTTTTTGCTTTCTTTTTTAAAAATCCCAGAGCAAGACATTAAAAAATAGGTAATTTACTGGTTTCTAGAAAATATCATTGGAATTCATTTTCCCTATCATTATGTTGACTTGAAAGAATCTTTTTCAACACCAACTTTCTTTCTCAAAATTGACAGGATTGGATTTTTTTGTCGTAAGTTTTCATTATTCTTTTTTTGTATAATTGGCCATGACAGAGTGCTGCTAATCTATTTTCTTCAATGAAGTTTAATTATTCATAATGCTCTTGGATCCATTCAGCTTCTTCTAACCCTATTTTCCTTAAGATTTTTAGAGAAGGGATTTCTACTTCCACTGGTAATACGGCTTCTATCTCGTAATTCAAGAAAAATAGAGTTGCCCCTGTGGAGTTATGTATTGACGTTTGGTAGGCATGTAAAGCGAAAGGTAATTTTTCATGCCAATCCTTAAATGTTTCAATCATTTTTTCCAAAATCTTTTTGATATTCTTATTTGCAACCTCAACTGCTCCATTCATCTTTGGGCGATATGGAGCGAAATTATGATACTTAATATTGAATTGAGCACATACTTTTTGCATCATCTTGTTGTTTAAGTTCTTTGCATTATCTAAGATGATCCTTTTGAAAGTCTATATCTATAGACTATTTCTCTCTTGATGAACTTACAGATTACTGATCGAGTTACATTTATAAAAAAGGTTGCTTCAACTCATTTAGTGAAGTAATCAATCATCACAAAAATGAATTTATTCCCGTTTAATGCTTTTGGGGTAATGAAACCAATAACATCCATTCTTCATATAGAAAATGGCTAAGGTGGTGCCAAAACATGTAATGTAGTAGGTAGAGCATGAATCTTGTCGGCATAAATCTAGCATTTGTGACACTTTCGAGCATAATCAATGTAGTCTTTCTCTATTGTTAACCAATAA